ACACACACACACACACACACACACACACACACACACAAGTCCAGAGATACAAATGTATTTGGACAAACTACTGAAGCAGCAACAGCAAACCGGATTCAGTGGGGAACAGAAGCTAACCTGACATGACACTTCTGCTCAAAGAACAGCAGCACAGAATTCCAGCTCACATCATTTATTGAAAATGTATTAATGTAAAAAGATTACAAATAAAACATTAATTTATATCCCACTGCGATGATTCTTTAAAGAACCTTTAAAGATCTTTAAAGAATAACTGCTTCAATAAAGCCTCAAAATGGCCTTGAAATAATTCATAAATAAAGCCATGAAAAATCTAAACCAATTACAGGCTTTTACAAAAAAATACATTAAAGTCTATGTCAATGGACCCTGTTTACTTTTTTTAACGCATGTTGTTGGTTTTATTATTCTTGATTTATCAGTGCACGCTATTTCAAATTTAAAAGAAAAATGGTTTCATACATTTTCATAAACTTCAATCAAAATTTCATATCTTGTTCTGCCTCACAAATTCCCTTATATTCTTCCTTCAAATCACCTGACTTCTGAACAACAACTTTTCACAGTTCAATCAGTTCCCAATGGATGAATTCAAGTCAGAATTTTATTTCCTGTTTCATTGTAAAATACGACAGATTAAATTGGGTTGCAAACAGTTTCATGTTGACCAAGACTTTAATAATTGAATTGAATTCAATTTTTACTAGTCAATATAACGTGGTCTGGACTTTATATACTATATATATATATACAGTATAATATGTATTCTATTTTAAATAATGTATGATATAAATAATGTTTTAAATATTATATGACAGCTAAAAACTCTAAAAACACTCTTTTAGAAGATGGCATACTGTGATTTTCTAACTGATGCTTCCAAGACCATCACAAGCCAGTTTTCACAAAACCTCATTAACGTTAGTCAGCTAGCAGCTAGTGGATAATTTAACTTGCAGCTATACTAAAAGTGAACTTATATGTATACTGATAATTTACTTATTAAATACTTGTAGCATTTTAGTACACTCTGAAGTATAGTCCCAGTAAACTACTAGATTAGTAGTTTTATACTGCAAGTATACTTTGAGTGAACTTTACATCATACTTTAAGTATACTATTATGTCCCTATTTAGGTATTAATTTGTATATATTTTGTTATATGAATATCTGAACATACAAAACATCAAAAGAAAGATCAGGGTACCTGCTTGTAAACAAAAACATTTTATTCTAGCTTCATGCATTCTTTTTTTGTTATAAACATTTGAATGTGGGTAAATTTAATAAATAAAAAAAATAAAGAAATAAACAACATTTTGAAAAAATAAAATAAAAAAAGGAATATGAATTTGATTCAGAATGATGATCAAAATGGAGTCGATCAGCACCCCAAAGCTTGACAGTCATTACCTCTTCATGGATCGACATTTTATTCCATAACGTTACACAGTTTTCATGCTGTTTTATGTTTGATGATCATGTTAGATTACGTGTGAAAGCATATGTTGTTTTGGTTTCTTCTTCGTTTGTGTTTTGTAAATTCTGTACAGAAGGTGTGTAATGGCGCCCCCTACTGCATAACAATGAAAACATGGATTCCCGGAGCACAAGTATAGCTGAAATAGATTTAGACTTTTTCTACGTTTAAGTCAAGTATACTTAAATGTAATTTTAAGTATATTTCTGAGAAGTACATAAAGCACATTTCTGAGAAGTACATAAAAAGTAGACAAAGTATACTTTCCTGCTTTTTAGTTTAAAAGAAGGATACTAATAGCACACTTGAATAAACTTCTTTTTTGTAAGGGCAGTCATGGTCTGATAGAGACTATTCATTTCTCTAGGAGTAAAATGTTTTACAGTAGTAAAACCTCTAAAAATCATTATTTTTTTAGACATCAGTTCATGAGTTCAAATGTGACAATATATACTTTACAATATAGCACCTCTCATACCTTAAATAAGAAATAAGAATAGCAGCACTATGTGTGTGGAGGTGATGAACACACTGCAGAAAGGCACAAACTTCAAACAAGGCTGTGAAAAACAGACAGAGAGCATGACGGGGAGACAGCGGACTGCAGAAAGACAGGGGAAACAGAGACACAGGAGACAACACAGAGATAGGGGACTCCAGAGAGACATTCAGCCCTCTGGACCAATAATACATGAATCAGAATCAGAATCAGAATCAGAATGAGCTTTATTGCCAGGTATGTTTACACATACGAGGAATTTGTTTTCGTGACAGAAGCTTCCACAGTGTAACAGAATGACAGTGACAGAACAAAAAACACAGATAATAAAAAATAAAAAATAGAACAAGTAAATAAGGAATAAAAATATATAAATCGACAATTGTATGTGCAGGTATATTACAATAGACAGTTTTGTATGTACAGGTACTGTATATTATGTGCAAATTTTAGGTGTAGACTGAGTATGAGTGTTAGATAAATAAGTGTATGAGTGTATAAATAGTGTGTGTTCCACAGTTATTGTTAAGTGTTCATGAGATGGATTGCCTGAGGGAAGAAACTGTTCCTGTGTCTGGTCGTTCTGGTGCTCAGTGCTCTGTAGCGTCGACCAGATGGCAACAGTTCAAAGAGGGAGTGTTCTGGATGTGAGGGGTCCAGAGTGATTCTGCCAGTCCTTTTGCTCACTCTGGATAAGTTCAGTTCTTGGAGAGAAGGGAGGGTTGTACCAATGATTCGCTCAGCAGTCCGGACTACCCTCTGAAGTCTTCTGAGGTCAGATTTGGTAGCTGAGCTTAACCAGACAGTTATTGAGGTGCAGAGGATGGATTTGATGATGGCGGAGTAGAACTGTTTCAGCAGCTCCTGTGGCAGGTTGAACTTCCTCAGCTGGCGAAGGGAA